ACACCCTCTTCTTCCATAACGTGCTCCAACCTCTCGAACCAGAAGGACAAGGTCTCCCATTTGTTTTCCATCGTTGCAACTTTCTCCTCAGCAGTCTGGAAAACTACCAGACAGGCTTTTTTTGCATAACCCCATTGAATCACTTTTACATTGATTCCTTCAGTCCTTAACGCCCTCTTTACAAACTCAACTTCGAATAAAGGCTTACAAATACCAGTTAACGACGATCTCAACCATGATCTATCCTCCATTGGAATAAAGACTTCCAACTGCTTCTTCACCTCCTTCTTAGCTCCAAAACTCCCCGCTTTCTGGCCCTCAACTTCTTTTGCACCCACAACCATCTCCTTATATGACCTTCCATTGTGAAACTTATTCATCATCTCCTTCTTTCCAGTACCTGCAGCTTGAGATGATGGTAGTTTCCTGAGCAACCCATCTACACCAGCATCTGTAGACCTCGCCCCACTAGTACGTTTGAGACTCCTCGAAATACTTTTCTTCTGATATTTGGCAATCGACACCAATATTCTCCTCCCATCGACCGAGGCGTTGTTCATCTTTTCAATTGCTAGATGCATATCATCTTTTCTAGCAAAATGCACAAAGGCAAAAGTACTATCCTTGTAATAAGGTCTCCTATTAACAAATGGAATGAACACCTTAATCACCTTACCATAATGACTAAAACGATCCCATAATACACTTCTCTGCACTAGCCTACTAAGATTATCCACGAATACAACCCACGATATTTCTCCAGGCGAAGACCTACTTCTGACCGGACGAACAAGACCCTTCGAACTCTCCCTCACTCTCTCTCTACCTTTCTCGCTCATTTTCTTACATTGATATTGTGATCTTGACACACTGGTTTTGATATACAGGTAGCTGAGCAGAAAGTGAAGGATGAGCAGCAGAGGGCGGAAAGGGATCAGGTAATATGAACTATCAGTTGCTTGTAATAACTCGCAATAATAGCCATTTATTCTGAAAGCATTAGTTTCCCATTATTGATTTATGTTTGCAATAACTTGTCTTTCTACTCTGCCATTTTGGCTTGAGATTGGCATATTGAAAACAGCCTTGTTATTTCGATGACAATGCCTTAATTCTTCCGTTGCAATAATCATTATTCCAGTTGTCCTACTATTCTGATTTACACAATTTTGCGGCGTTTACATGGCATTACTGTTGTTTCCACTTAGCCCTTATTGGTAATCTTCAAGAACGAAGAACTATGGTCCTTTTAGTGCATATCTTCTAAACTGCCCTCTCTATCCACTTGTGCCTGTTGAACACCTCAATTATTGATTAATGTATAAACACATATATGCTAAATTAAAATAGATCCATTTTCATGATTTTCTTATGGTTGCAGGCGATAGGCTTGAAATTTTACGTTCCAGAGGACTATTTCATCACGTAGTTTCGGTTAGTGCCTACTGATGCACAACCATTTCAGCATGTAGTACGTTATTAGTCTTAAACTGTATATATTTTTAACAGCAAAACCTGGACTCAAGTTTGTTATTGGAGATTATTATGTTTTAGATTGATTCATTAAGGCCTCTGTTTGCCCTGGCAGAATATTTGATCGGAAATAAAGCTTCATTTGCATCTGCTATCCCTAAAACTGAGCACATTTCTTCCGAACATTAGCTGTGAGTTTCCCAGGCTAAGTCTGTGTGCTTCGATGTCTATGTAGTCTAACATGCTTTATATTGTCATCTTGTTGGAGTTCATGTAAAGATCTTTGATGAGATATTTCTGCAACAGAGCATGACAGAAATAACTCGTATGACTGTTGGTATTTTAAAAGTTTCCAAGTTTTATTTTATATTTTATATTTCATATTCGTTTTATTATTATGTTCGGATTTTTTGATTATCCTTGTGTAAGAATGCAATATGCCACTGCCCCCAAACTGTTAACTGTTTGCTTATTTCTTACTTCAAAGAATAGAAGAATTTCCCTGAAAGCTGAAAGCTATGGTTGCAGAGCATGTGAATTTCCTAGACTAGCGTTACACACCAAATTCTCAAACATCAGAGGTTGGTGACTCCTTCGACCTTGCAGAGGAAGCACGGCGAAATTGCATAGAAGAATATAAATATTTTAATCCGGACAATAGCTTGTAAATGTCAACACCATATGACTTGTAGCTTAGAAAAGCTGTGACTCTGACTTATAGTCTTCAATACATTAGTTTTGAATAGGACGTCATCGGTTACAAATTTTTCCCACCATTCAAATTATGGCTTTCTGTTATTCAAAAGACTTTTAGTTTCATGACTGATGTCTTAAATCTCGAATTATTTGGCCCCATTTTCGTTTTCCTAATAATTTCAAAGTATTTGGTCTCATTCATAGAGTGTTTAGGTGTACTCTGCTGGAAATGCCAAAATAATTGAAAAGAAACTAATGTCGGCGTCACGTATTAAAGTTAGTAGCGTTTGGTTTGCAATGTGAGGATGAATGCTTTTGTTTGCTTATAAACAGAAGACACCCACTCTACTCTTTATTTATCTCAGCCTTCACATTTTACGCACTCCGTTCTCACTTTTTCCTGAGAGCAACATGAAAGTGCGGTTAATACTGTTGTATTTTGTGGTCTTTTCCCACTTCTTTGCCAATGATTCTTCTGCTCTAACAACGAACGCCATGGTGCCCTCATGACCAAAGCGTTGCCTTAGTCCAATTCAACAACTCCTTTTCCATTGATTGCAACCTCAGTTTCCTCAGCAATGTACCTAGGGCTAAGACATTGTCGTGGAAGGAAGGAACAAACTGTTGTTTGTGGGATGGGGTTAAGTGTGATACTGAAATTGGGAATGCGATTGGCCTCGATCTCAGTCCTCATGGTATTACCCTGGAAAATTATTTTACATGTATATCAACTACCAATACCCTGAAAGCCGATGAAACTTTTAAGCAAGCTATCAACTAAAATTCCTGCAATCTACACAGTCCATGAAGACGAGCAGTTCAGTGTGCAGAACCATATATGTCAGCTTGTTCTTCTAGAAGCAGAGCAACTTCATCTTCTCTGGGCCTCTTTTTTTAGGTTACTAGCTGCAACGAGAAGAGAAGATAAACCGTCTGTCAATTCTTGATTTACAGAAGCATTGATAAATTTAATATCCAGTTTTCGTCCTGTCCATCCTTTATAAGGTCCAAATATTTTTATTGAAGTTGATTTTGAAACCTAGGTTACTTGCAATGAATTTTTGGATGGACTATAGGCATTCCCAGGTGAAGAAGTCATTTTCAATGGACTTTCAGTTAGTTTTCCAATGTATTTTAAAATGTTCAATGGAACATCGGGAACTCAAGATATGTTTATTTTAATGAAGACAAGCATACAAAAATTTAGATATGAGCCTAATACGATAATTTTAATTTTAAATTATTTTATTGATTATTTGTAATTAAATTTAACTTTAGACTTTCCTTTACTTATTTAGGGTAATTTAATATTTTTATGATTATTTTAAAGATTTATTTGTGTATCTAACATTAATGGAAAAATACTAGATTTCACTTTTAGTTTTTTTAGAGGCCTAAATAGGCACTCAAAAAAAAGGAGAAAGAAAAACGAGGGAGTCTATAAATACTAGATCAAACCTCTCTTGAGGTTTATCATTGAATATCGAAGTGGAATTTAAAAGGGGAAAATGATTTTAGTTCCTATGTTTTTGGATTTTATACTTGATCCGAAGACTCGATTCCGCACCTTTTAAACGGGTAGGATAATGCATGTCGCAATCCTTCAGAATTATTCATAAGTATATTTTGGTCCTCATTCTTTTAATTACTTTCTAATTTTATTCGATTTTGATTTATTTATTTTATTTTAATTTAATCATTTGTCTTTTTTCTTTTATTTGCTTATTATGTTTATTTTATTCAAATTTGTTTACAGTTAACTGTTTATTTTTTATAAAAATATTCTTTTCCAATGTACTTGGGTCATTTATTTCCTTTTAATTTTAACTTTTTTCTAATTTATTTAATTCATGTCGTTTTCGTTATTCTTAATTTTCTTTTTCTTTTTTATTTTAATATTATTTTTTTGTCTAATGTAACTTATTTTCTTTTCCTTTTTCTTATTTCTTTGTATTTGTATATATTAGTTTATTTAACTCTTTGTATTTATTTATTTCACATTATTTTTAAATTTTGTATTTTCCTATTTGTTTAATTTTTTTAATTCCAACCTTGAGTTTCTTGATTATTTGATTTTAGTCATAGAATTAATCAATGTACTTTAGATTGAACCCCTTAGACTTTATTTTTTTATTTAGGTCCTCACTTAGATTAATTAAGAGAATTTTTAAAATAGTCTACGTTTATGCTCGGAGCCTCAATTTTAGGTTAGTTTATCTTAAATATTTAAGTAGCTTAATTAGGAGAATTTTTAAAATAGTATTCGCTCATGCTTAGGGTTCTATTTTAATTATTCGATCAATAATTTTAAAATCTATTATGTTTAATATTAGAGCCTCAATTTTAAGATTAGTTTTATTAAGTCCCTAAAAATTCATAATTTGTCACTTTAGTTAGATGAAGCCTTAATTAACTCATTTAATGTAATTAGGTTCAATAATTGGTTGTTTGATTGCATAATTTAGTTTAAAAAATAAAGACAATGCTCATTTATTAGGGATTAATAGTGTCTCCTCCACTTATGTTCGGGGTGGCCATTATTATTTTTAGAAATAAATCAACACCGTTTTCAAATTTGTGCATCATGATTTAAAATATATTAAGACAATAATTATTAGGATTAATGATAAACCTCCTCTTATGCCCGGGGTAACTATTATTAATTCTTAAATAAATAAATATCCTTTTTCAAATTGACATACATAACGAATCACAAATTAAATAACAAGCTTAGTGGTCCTATTGATCAATTTGACAAGGTCCCTTCCTTGGAGATTGTTGATTTGTCCAGTAATGAGATACAGGGTCCAATTCCTGCTTTTTCCTAACTTATGGACCTTACTCAGCTTGACCTTTCCTTTAATGATTTGAGTGGTAGTTTTGAAATGGACAAATTATCAAAGCTCAGCAAACTTGAGACACTTGATCTCTCCGACAACCCTTTTCTATCATTGAGCAGTGCAAGCAGCAGTGTCAATTACTCTTTGCCTAGTCTTGCAAGTTAAATCTCTATCCTTGCAACACAAGTGAATTTCCAAATTTTGTAAGAAATCTTGAAGGTTTGATCCGTCTAGACCTTTCTTATAATAGAATCCGTGTCGTCAATGCTGATATGCTTGTAAAGCTTAATAGCCTTCAAATATTGGATCTTTCACACAGCAGTCCACTATACCAGAGTAACAATAACAACCTCACTCTTGTCTTGCCTAATCTTGTTTCCTTGTCGATGTCTTCTTGTAATATAACTGAATTCTCAAATTTCTTGACAACTCAAGAGGTTTGATTAGTTTAGACCTTTCAAACAACATCATTCAAGGCCAAATTACGAAACAGGAAAGAAATTGGGGAAGCAATCTAACCTATCTTGATCTTTCTCACAACTTGTTGCAGTTGTAGAATATTCATGGAAGAATCTACTAGTTCTAAACCTTGGCTCCAACCAATTAGAAGCCACTTCTACTTCCACCTCCTCGCGTATCTGTTCTCTTAATCTCACAGAACAGATTACCTGGCGAAATTCCACCTTCCATATGCAATATGTACAATTCGGAGGAGGATGTGATTCTCGACTTGTCCCATAACAACTTGAGTGGAGCAATTCCGAGATGTATGGGGCAAGCAATTTTTTCTGTTCTAGATTTGCAGATGAATCATTTACATGGAAACATCCCTGATTTTCGTGTTGAGGAAGACTACATGTTACAAACACTCAACCTCAACAACAATGATTTTGATGGGCCACTACCTAAGTCCTTGGTCAATTGTCATCATTTGGAAGTGTTGAATTTCGGAAACAACAAGATAAATGATGCATTTCCCGACTGGTTGGGAACTCTTCCTCAGCTACAAGTTCTTGTCTTGCGCTCCAGTTATTTCCATTGTCAATTAACCCATTCAGAAAATGGATCGCATTTCTCGACCCTGCGAATCTTGGACATCTCACATAATGAGTTCTCTGGTTTTCTGTCAACAACATACTTTAAAAGTTTCCAAGGTATGATGAGTTTGGCCGATAATCAAATGAGATATATGGAAGATTATGATTCTTACTACCGAGATTCCCATGGTTGTCACAATGAAAGGTATGGACATGGAGCTTGAGAGAATTCTAACTATTTTTGCAACGCTTGATATGTCAAGCAACAGATTTGAAGGGACAATTCCACAAATAGTTGGAGACCTCATTTCTCTCAGTTGACTGGTTTGAATTTTCTTGAAGTATTGAACCTGTCAGAGAACCAGCTTGTTGGACTCATTCCTCAGGGAAAACAATTCAATACCTTCCTCAACAATTCCTATGTCGGCAATACAGGATTGTGTCGGTTTCCAGTTTCAAAAAGCTGTGGCCATAGTGAATCTCCGGCACGAGGATCTTATGAACATGAAGATGATTCTGCATTCAGATTGAATTGGAAATTCTTGATGATGGGTTATGGCTGTGGAATGGTGTTTGGATTTTCTGCAGGATATATCATGATGACAATTCGAAAACCAACATGTCTTGTTGGGGTGATTCAAGGAGCAGGCAACAGAGTTCTAAGCAGATTCAAGAAATACCGTTGAGGAAGATGGAATTTGTGGAGACAGATATTTGCTCTTCCATGGCTGGTTGGACACTTTTGTACGGAATCTCTTTCACTCGGTCTCCTGATTTTGGTTTGAAGTGTTTGATTCCGACATGTATTTTTTTTTATCTTGTTTCCTTTAAGAAGTTGTTAATGACTGTTTATGTACTTTTCAGTTTTGATGAATTTGAATGAAATAATTTTCTCATCCAAATTAAAAACAGAAGTTGATCTTTGGGAAAGTTATATATTTAGGTATGTGTTGAATTTGAGAAAGAAGGGAATTGGTCGTATGTAATTTATTTTAAGGTTTTTTTTTTCATACGGATTCAGTAAAACAATCTTGATGAGTATATGGACGATGATAATCTGCAACTTTAGAACTTGGTAAGCATTTTTCCGACAGGGTACCAATGAACTCATTTCCAGAGATATCAATTAGTACTAGCAAACTAGAAAACGAATAGGAAGCCGTGGACTTGTCCAGGCGACCGTGGAAGCTATAAGAGCGTAGGATAAGAACTTGCAGGCTTGAATTTTTAACTATCTTTTTAATTTCAATGATGAGATTTCAAATAGAAATGGTTACAAGACAAATTTATATATTTCAAACTATGCAAATTTGCCAAGTGGACGAGTAATGAGCCATGAAAATTGTTGGATTGCAAGTTCAATCAAGAAAGAACAGAGAAATTTCCTTTGTGGGGTGGCATGCTGCCAGAGAGATTCTGGTAAGGAGGTAATGAGCCGGCTCCCGTTCCTCCTAATTTCTATTTGTCTTTATTGGCATCAAGATTCGATGACCAACAAAATGCAACTTTACAGCTGAATTTTAAAAGATTGGGAGTCTACGTGAAACGATATATATAGGCTCAACCCCTAAACCCATACATAGCACATTCCCAACTTCATTTCCTTCAAACTTTGCCTCCTTCCATCGCTTGGTTCTTAGATTGTAGAAATGGGGAAATTGATTTGGTTGCATCAAACTGGTAGGTTCATCTTACTGTTGTTGTTTCTTTTCGAAGTCGATTGTTCTCCGATTGTGTCTTTCTATTCTCTTAATCCAACTCCCCTCATATCTGTTAGACGATAAATCAGCCTTACTCCAATTCAAGAACACCATGTCCATTGATGATTCTAATGCTGATTCCACTTGTTATCCCAAAATAAACTCCTGGAATGAAAGCACCCACTGCTGCTCATGGGAGTGTTAGAAAAGTCAAATTGGGGGGTTGGGAAGTCTAAATTTGGGGTGCCGAATTCGGTGGGTTGGCACCGAATTCGGTGCATTTTTTTTGGTAATTACAACTTTAGTCTTTGCAATTTTTAGGGTATTTATAAGATTAATCCCTAAGCTTCAACTATAAATACCCTAACCCATTTAGCTTCAAAATAATTCCAAAAATCATTTCTTTCTCTCATTACTAGAGAGCTTTCTTGTGAGTAGTGAGTGTTTTGTAAACACCTGTAAATTTTCTTTCTTAGTAAAAGATCTGCAGCAGTCCGGAGACGTAAGCATAATTGGTTGAACTCCGTTATCAATTTCGGGTATTATTTTTCCGCTTTTATTTCGCATTCTCACTAATCTGGTTATAGGGAAATTACTCGTTACTCGGTTTATTTCCTAACAACTGGTAATCAGAGCTTTTCGTTGTGAATTTTGTCGCGAGGTTACTCACGTGAATAGTGAATTTTGTGAATAGTAAAATTTTGTAGGCGATACGAATTTATCGACGGAGGTGTTCTAATACACGGTGGTTCACAAAAATTGTCAGAAACGATCCAAACGAAGCCAGATTCGAGTGGGAGCGATAGCTGCAGACGAATGGAATGTGAAAATTGAGAAATTCGATGGTGCAGACTTTAGCTTTTGGAAGATGCAGATTGAAGATTTTCTGTACCAGAAAAATCTATATCAACCTCTCTCAGGAAAGCAACCAAGGGCATGAAGAATGAAGACTGGGCTCTTCTCGACAGACAAGCCCTCGGAGTTATCCGACTGACGTTGTCTCGAAATGTTGCTTTCAATATAGCAAAAGAAAAGACTACGGCGGGTCTTATGGTGGCTCTCTCCAGTATGTATGAGAAGCCATCGGCCTCAAACAAAGTTCATTTGATGAGGCGGTTATTCAATTTGCGGATGGATCAATGACTCAACACCTAAATGAACTCAACACAATCACAACCCAGTTGAGTTCAGTGGAAATTGAATTTGATGATGAAGTTCGAGCTTTAATTCTCTTATCATCTCTACCAGACAATTGGAATGATACTATTACAGCAGTCAGCAGCTCGTCGGGAAACAGCAAATTAAAATTCGACGATGTTCGGGATCTGGTACTGAGTGAAGAAATTAGACGAGAGAATCAAGTGAAGCATCAACCTCCTCAGCCTTGCACACAGAGTCAAGAGGGAGAACTTCAGAAAGAAATTCAAATCGTGGCAGATCGAAATCCAGAAGGGGAAAATCAAGAACATGAAAGAAAGATTTTACCTGTTATAATTGTGGCAAGAAAGGTCACTTTAAAAGAGATTGTCGAGCACTGAAAAAAGATACTGGTGCACAGGAATCTACCAACGTGACAGAGGAGACATGTGATGTCATGATTCTAAGCGTCAACAGTCCAATTGAATCATGGATCTTGGATTCAGGGGCATCTTTCCACTCCACCCCATACCGAGAAATCATGGAGAACTATGTAAATGGTGACTTTGGGAAGGTTTATCTAGCAGATGATGAAACCTTGAAGATCGTCGAAAAAGGAGACATCCGATTAAAGTTGCCAAACCAGACCACATGGACGCTGAAGGGAGTGAGACATATTCCTGACCTCAAAAGAAATTTTATTTATGTAGGACAGCTTGATGGAGAATGATATAACACAACCTTTTCAGGCTGTGAATGGAAGATTACCAAAGGAGCACTCGTCATTGCTTGTGGTAAGAAGACTGGTACTCTCTATGTAACCTCAAATTTAGAGAATATTATTACAGCCGCATATGCTGATGGAAAATCAAACCTATGGTACCAAAGGCTTGACCATATGAGCGAGAAAGAGATGAAGATGCTTTTGTCAAAAGAGAAGCTGCCGGATCTAAAGAATGTAGATGTCGGACTATGTGAAGATTGCATCTTTGGTAGACAAAAGAAAGTAAGTTTCCAAAGATTGGCAAGACACCCAAGGCAGAAAATAAACTCACACCTTCATCGATGATTCAACAAGGAAGGTGTGAGTTTATTTTTGAAGAAGAAATCAAAAGTCTTTGATACCTTCAGAAAATGGAAAGCCATGGTGGAAAATGAGACTGGTTTGAAAGTCAAGCGGTTGAGGTATGATAATGGAGGAGAGTACAAAAATAGAAGATTCAGAGATTTCTGCGCAAACAATGGGATCAAGATGGAGACAACAGTTCCCATGACACTGCAGCAGAATGTTGTAGCAGAGCGCATGAACAGAACTCTGAATGAACGTCCCAGAAGTATGAGGATACGTGCCAGAAGTATGAGGATACATGCCAGATTGCCCAAATTTCTATGGGCTAAAGCTATCAACACTGCAACTTACCTGATCAACCGTGGGCCCTCAGTTCCTTCGGATGGCAGAATACCAGAGGAAGTTTGGAGCAAGAAAGAAATAAATCTTTCACACTTAAAAGTGTTTGGTTGTATTTCTTATGTACATATAGATTCTGCTGAAAGAAGTAAACTTGATGCCAAGTCCAACAAATGTGTCTTTGTTGGTTATGGTAGTGATGATTTCGGTTACAAATTTTGGGACTACGAAAATCGAAAGATCATCAGAAGCAGAGACGTCATTTTCAATGAGAATATGATGTACAAAGAAAGGTCAACTATAGAATCAAGTAGCTCTAATACCGAAGCTGAAATAAAGGAATTTGCTGAGTTCGAGGAGATTTCTAGAAATGATGTTCAGATCAATCCTGAAGTAGTTCAAGAAGAACCAGGCACACCAGAAGTGAGACGCTCCTCCAGAATTCTTAAACCAACCCAACGGTATTCTTCTTCTTTGCACTACTTGTTGCTGACTGAAATGGTGAACCAGAGTGCTATGATGAAGCAATTCAAGTGGAGGATTCAGTCAAGTGGGAGTCTTCCATGAAAGATGAGATGGACTCGCTTATGTCAAATCAAACATGGGAATTAGCTGAATTACCACCAGGCAAGAAAGCGCTCCACAATAAGTGGATTTACAGGATCAAAGAAGAGCACGATGGGAGCAAACGCTACAAAGTAAAATTGGTTATCAAAGGTTTTCAACAAAAAGAAGGTATTGACTACAATGAAATTTTCTCTCTAGTCGTAAAACTGTCTACAATCAGACTGGTGTTGAAAATTGTAGCAGCAGAGAATTTACATCTTGAGCAGTTAGATGTGAAGACAGCTTTCCTTCATGGTGATTTGGAGGAAGAAATCTATATGAGGCAGCCAGAAGGCTTCATAGAAGCAGGCAAGAAAAACCTGGTATGCAGGTTGAAGAAGAGCTTGTATGGTTTAAAACAAGCTCCAAGACAGTGGTACAAGAAGTTTGATAGTTTCATGAGTAGCAATGGTTTTACCAGATTTCAAGCAGATCATTATTGCTACATCAAGAGGTTCGACAACAACTTCATAATTTTATTATTGTACGTTGATGACATGCTCGTTGCAGGCTCAGACATGCAAGAGATTATACACTTGAAGCAAAAATTGTCGAAGCAGTTTGCTATGAAGGATCTGGGTGCTGCAAAGCATATTCTTAGGATGAGGATTAAGAGAGACACAAAGTCGGGGACTTTGATGTTATCACAAGTTGAATACATTAACAAAGTACTTTCCAGGTTCAACATGCAAGATGCTAAACCAGTAAGTACACCTTTAGGTGTTCATTTTAGACTCTCCAAAGAACAGTCACCAAAGATGAAGGAAGAACGTGCACACATAGTGAAAGTGTCGTATGCCTCAGTAATTGGAAGTCTAATGTATGCCATGGTTTGTACTAGACCAGATATTGCTCATGCAGTGGGAGCTGTTAACAGGTACATGAATAATCCAGGCAAGGTACAATGGGAAGCTGTCAAATGGATCCTCAAATATCTGCGGGGTACTACAAACAAAACACTTTGTTTCAAAGGTGGAGATATGATACTGACAGGCTATGTAGATGCTGACTTAGCCGGAAATGTTGACATCAGAAGGAGCACTACAGGGTATGTCTATACTCTAGGAGGTACTGCAGTGAGTTGGGTTTCTCAACTACAGAAGATAATTGCTCTCTCCATAACTGAAGCAGAATATGTCGTTGTTACGGAAGCCAGCAAGGAGATGGTCTGGCTCCAAAGTTTCTTGGAAGAGTTAGGCAAGAAACAAGAAAACAATGTCTTGTATTGCGACAGTCAAAGTGCTATCCATCTAGTAAAGAATCCGTCTTTTCATTCCAGGACGAAGCACATACAACTGCGATATCATTTTATCCGGTCTCTTCTGGAAGATGGGATTTTGAAACTTGAAAAGATTAGTGGAGCTCAAAATTCGGTAGACATGTTGACAAAGACGGTGACCACGGACAAACTGAAGTTGTGTTCAGCTTCAGTTGGCATGCTAGAATAATAAGACCAGAAATGTTACTGTATTGATTGAGGTGTGAAGACAGATTAAAATCATTCTTCAAGTGAGAGATTATTAGAAAATTCAAATTGGGGGGCTGGGGAAGTCTAAATTTGGGGTGCCAAATTCGATGGGTTGGCATCGAATTCAGTGCATTTTTTTTGGTAATTATAACTTTAGTCATTGTAATTTTTAGAGTATTTACAAGATTAGTCCCTAAGCTTCAACTATAAATACCCTAACCCATTTAGCTTCAAAATCATCCCAAAAATCATTTCTTTCTCCCATTACTAGAGAACTTTCTTGTGAGTAGTGAGTGTTTTGTAAACACCTGTAAATTTTATATCTTAGTAAAAGGTCTGCAGTAGTTTGGAGACGTAAGCAAAATTAACTGAACTCCGTTATTAATTTCGGGTATTATTTTTCAGCTTTTATTTCGCATTCTCACTAATCTGGTTATAGGAAAATTACTCGTTACTCGGTTTATTTTCAAACAGGGAGGGAGTCACTTGTGGTAAGGCAACTGGTCAGGTAATAGGCCTCGACCTTAGTTGCTCTATGATCGTCGGTTCTCTTCCTCGAAACACCAGCCTTTTCCGTCTCCAAGGACTCAAACAACTCAACCTCTCTCTCAACAATTTTAATCATTCTTCGATTCCGTACGGGTTTAGTCAGTTGGTTAGCTTGACTCATCTTGATCTCTCTGATTCTTTCTTCTCCGTTTTTATCCCACTGGATATTTCCTTGGCATCAAAACTGATCTCAATTGATCTTTCTGGAAATCATTTGACATTTGACAGCCACAGTTTTGGCATGCTTACAGGTAACCTATCTGAATAGGAAAATCTTTCCCTCCAAAATGTAAACATGTCTGATGTTGAGGTGACATCCTTCGTAAACATATCTTTGTTACTAAAGCGTTTGAATCTCGAGTTGTGGTTTACAGGGGGAATTCCGGCGATTTGACCAAACAGACATATATTTACCAAATATTTACCTTTTTAGCATCGTTTGATATATATTTCCCAAAGTGGCACCCTTTCGGCTGAGCTGGAGAAAGGCGCGTCCCCGGGGACGCGCTTTATCCGTGTTTTCGCTGAGTTGGATGCCACGTGTGGAAGGCGCATCCCCAGGGACGCGCCTTTCGCCAGCTCGACTGCCACGCTGGTATTTTGTTTAATAATAAATATTTTATTTTTATTATTATTATAAATTAGTAATATATTATGTAAAGTGTTTCGATTATAATGTAAGAATTATCAAATGTATTTTGTTAATGTGTATTAAAGGTGGAGTGAATTATCTACATTAATATGATAGAACAATATATGAAAACCAGTTTTGACTTTATTGTAGTTATCGGAAAAATGTATGAAATTATAATATTACACATATGGTTATATTATTATTTTTGATTTTGATTATCGATCTATTAATTTTATCAGTTAATTATTTAAATATTATCAATCTAGTCTTCTCTTATCAATATTTAACAAAAATATTGATGCATAAGTTAATAAATTAGTATAATTACATATTTAATCTTCAAGACTTACATATTTTATGAAATTAGTCTTATTGAAAATTTAATTTAATAAATTTAATCCTCCAATCAGAACATGAAATGTGTCATCGTATACATAAATTTTTTAATAACTTTTAATTTGTTTAATTTAATATTTTTCTCTACTTAGAATGTGGAATTATTATTATAGTTTAAAAAATATATAACAAATAATATTAATTATTATATTAAATAAATATATTAAAAATATTTATGTATTTAAAAGTTAAAAAAAATTATTTAGGTGTACATACATTGACAAATTATATAAATGCAATAACATTAAATTATTAGAAACAAAAACATTCATTTAAATACAATATTAATTACGTATTATATGATGATAACAGAGCTGAACATTTTTTTCTATTGTGCCCGATGTTTCTACAATGCCCACATCGTTTTTGTTCCGTTGACTTCTCCCGAATATCCATATCACAATGTATTCTAGTAGATTTTGGATGACCTGAGTCCCTCAATAGCAATAGATCTGGTACAATTGTAAGCCAAGTTTGAATCTCATTTGGGTCTCTTTCGTTTCCTATGGGCGGAAACTCAAATTCATATACCTTAAATACTTGTGAAAGTTGGTATACGGGATCAACATAATTTTTGTGGTCCAAATGCGAATGTGAGCAAGCTGCAATGACATGAGAGCATGGATATTTGAGTGCTTGAAAGAAACCACAATCGCACCACCTCTCTTGCAGATTAACTCTGAAAGAGTTAGCTCCAATCCCTTGCAACGGACGTGGCATTTCGGTTACACGAAACAATTCACGGGTGCGAGAAAAATTTGTAACTAACATCCCATTTGATGCAACCATTTTTTTCTGTAAATCAACTACTAGTCTTGGGTGGTAAATATGGCCGTTTTGCATCCAAGTAAGAGCTTGTCCACCGAGCTTTGCAAAGAGTTGACCCAAACGAAAATAAGTCGTTTTAACCAACGCCGTGACTGGTAAATAACGCGCCCCCTTTAAGGTTGAATTTATTGCTTCAGCCAAGTTTGTTGTTATATGACCATAGCGATACCCCCCGTCATATGCATTTGTTCACATTTTTTACTGATGTCCATAATGTACTCGCACCCCTTCTTATTTTTGCCAAACAGCTCTTGTAGCATCGACTCAAACCTTTGAGGTAAGAGTTCGTAACCTAAGCCATTAGGAATATGTAATAGTTAATATGAAGTATAAATAAGTAATAAGAAATTGATAGAAAAATTGGGAAAAAGTAACATACTCATCCGCACGACTAACTGACGTTCATCGTTTTTCTTGTATTTTCCGTAATAGTTTGCAGCAATATGACGGACACAATAACGATGTTGAACATGTGGAGGTCTATACGTTGTACCCAAAGAGTCCATTGCTGCTTTTATCCCGGCTCCTCGGTCTGAAATAATGCATACTCGTTCCCTGGTGACAACATGTAAACGTAAATTTTTAAGGAAAAAAGCCCAAGACTCAGTGTCTTCTCCTTGAACGAGGGCAAACGCAACAGGAAGAATACTGCGGTTTCCATCTTGGACCACAACCAATAATAAAACTTGCTTGTATTTCCCATACAAGAAAGTACCATCAATTTGGACAACTGGTTTACAGTACTTGACTGCATTAATACACTGAGGGTAAGTCCAAAAGACACGGTAAAATTGGCAGCGATCGCGAACCATTCGATCATTCACGTAATGATGTTGAGTTTCGAACTCAACAATTGTCCCGGGATTAAGTCTTTGCACAACATGAAACCAACTGGGCAGCTCGTTGTAAGAGGAATCCCATTCGCCATGAAGTTTGCAAATGGCATTCTGTTTTACCAACCACGCTTTTTTATATGAGATAGTGTACCCATATTGTGACTGTATAGCAGAAATCAACACTGCAACAGCTATATGAGAGCTTTGCTTCACAATGGGCATGATTGCTTGGCAAATAATGTTGGAGTCCAAGTTGGGATGATCCTGGTTTATACATGTTGCACAACATGTATGAGGACCGTTGTATCTGATTAGTTCCCATAAGTTGTTCTTCCTCTTCCTCTTTGATACACGGACCATCCATTGACATCCGTTGTCACGTTGGACGCAGTAGCAGACATATTTCTCCGTGTTAGATCGATCAACTCGGGACTTAACTGAGTTACGAATATTGTAACTCTTTATTGCCATCATTGCTTCCTCCTTCGATGCGAACTCCATTCCAATATGTAAATTACCGTCATTAACTAATGATTGAAGTCCATAGTTGCCAACATCAGGAAGATCTGGAAATTCAGGCTCATACATTGCATCATAATCAGCCTCATACATATATGCAGGAAGTTCGGCTGGTGTTGTATTTATCGGAACGTCATCCTCGTCATCATCAGAATGTACGTTAAACTGTGGTGAGTCAGGTTCAACGAATAATCTCATTTCAGCACCATATGCACTGGCTCCCGAAGAGGTTCTTCTGGTGGATATGAGGGTTCCTCAGATAATCCAATGTTGAGATCAAATAAGTTCCCACTTGCGTGTCCTCCCCTTGAACTTGAGGTCATTGTATCATGTGGGATGTGAATAGACTGTCGTCTCGTTGGCATTTCCATATGTAAGTCGAAAACATTGGCAGATGAATGTCTGCCCCTTGAAGTAAAAGAGATGTTGCCATATGGATTATTGGTGAAGCCACGTGGTTTGAGATCATAAGCAGTTGCAGATGAATGCCTTCCTATTGAACTTGATGGCATGGTATCTGGCGTTGGATCCGCCATTAATGATGTGAAATTATTACAGATCAGTTGTGTTGGGCTATCAACTTGATCAGCTTGATATGCAATGCCAAAGTGAGAGGAATATGAGAGACCACGAGTTGCACGAACCTCAATAAAAGTGGTATACATTTCAATAAGAGATTGTGAACTCCCCATATGAGTATCAACCATCATAGAAACATCATCATCGTTTGAAAGCTGAAATGATGTATACGTGAGCAGAAAAAGTTCAGTAGGAAATCTGTACTGAAGTGAATATAGTCTTCTCTGGCCTGCTACACGAATCTTTAACGAAATTTTTGTGATTAACTCCTCAATTGTGATGTTTCTCTTCAAGGTTAAGGGGATATAATGATCTGACTCAAAAACAACACCCTCTTCAGCTTCCTTAATTTCTCCATCATACAAAACAACAGCAGAAAGACGACTCATTTTCAAAGAATTTGAGAATTTAGAGTTTGGGAATTTGAGAATTTGAAAGCTTGTGAACTGAAGTTTGTTTTGAAAGTTTATAATACGTTGCATATAATAGTGTCTATAATCGGAGTACTATTCACATGAAGGCGCGTTCTCGGGGGCGTGCCTTCCATTATTTTGTCAGAGAATATGTTATCATTGCCCTATTATGTCATCATATCCCTCGGGGACACTATTCATATCAGTACCTATTATTTCTCAGGGGACTTGAAGGCACGTTCCCGGGGGGGCGCCTTCCATTATTTTGTCAGAGAATATGTTATCATTGCCCTATTATTTCACTCATGTCCCTCGGGGACACTATTCATATCAGTACCTATTATTTCTCAGGGGACTTGAAGGCGCGTTCCCGGGGGCGCGCCTTCCATTATTTTGTCAGAGAATATGTTATCATTGCCCTATTATGTCACTCATGTCCCTCGGGGACACTATTCATATCAGTACCTATTATTTCTCAGAGGACTTGAAGGCGCGTTCCCGGGGGGGCGCCTTCCATTATTTTGTCAGAGAATATGTTATCATTGCCCTATTATGTCACTCATATCCCTCGGGGACACTAGATGGATTATGAAATCAGGTAAATTATAACCAAAATTTAACTTCTTTTGAAAGTTCAGCAAGTTAAGAATAAATTATACATATAGATTAATTTAAGTTCATAACTTAAATTAAAACGTTATGTGAAGTTTGAATAAATTAGATAAAATGTTATGGATAAATTGAATAAATGTGAAGTGATAAGTTGATTGTCACATTGAAATTGTATGGAATGAGCATCGAGATGTTTTTACGAATAAATGTGAAGTGATAAGTTGATTTTAATGTATACGTTTTAATATATATGTTAATGATAAAATCATATGTATGGATAAATTTAATTTCAATTTAAGTATTGTGAACTATAATTGGAATATAACTTTTAATTTCGAATACAATTGGAATATTAAGTAGAAATTTAATGTTAAATTTTGAATACTATAATTTATATTTTAATTTTAAATTTCGAATAATATTATTTTTATTTTTATTTTAAATATCGAATAATATAATTTGTATTTTAAAAACATTTATCAATCATTTAATGTTAAATGTGAATAAAAAATAACATTAAAAATATGTATGTAACAACCATGAAACATTTAAATAACATAACCAAATTACATAAAATTCTGAAATATAACTATTTAAATAATATTAAAATACAACTTGATCACTGATGTCGTCTTCTCGAATGAGTTCCACATGGCGGTGGTTGTCTATTTCGTGGAGGATTTCTTCGTGGAACTTGTTCTTCAGTCTCTTCATATTCACTATCATCGTCAGTAGCATTTTCTTCATTTGGTGTAGATGACGCTGAAGGGGCTGAAGGGCCTGTATAAAATAACGACCCTGGAGGAGTGCTAGTAACAATCCCACCGCTCCCCGGGAACTGTGAAAACTATGGAAACATTGGCATCGATATCTGTGATCCAGATGGAGATTGAGGTGTTGCGAAGAAGCACCACCATGCAAATAAGATGCATATGAACCATATGCTGGATCATTAAACATAGTCGTATATGCACCTCATATGGTATAAAACCCTGCGGGCTAGGCATGTAACCTGGCGGGCTAGGAATGTAACCCTGCGGGCTCGAAATGTAACCCTGCGGGCTCGGAATGTAACCCAGCGGAGATGGCATATGAACTGGTGGGCTTGGCATATGAAAAGGAGGGCTGGGCATGTACCCCTGCGGCATCGACAGATAAGGATGTTGTAGTGGGACTGATGCAGAACCGGTAGCGCCTTCTCTCCGTCCATACATCGTAGGACGATGATATTGAGACGGTTGACGTCTTTCTCGGCGCCTAGGAATGTTAACCCCTTGTGCTTCCGCCGAAAGTAGAAACGGCTTCCCATTTTCATTAAACCAGTCCATATAGTTATCCGTAACCATATGACCAGTTTCAGCGTAATATTGTCAAGGGGCCAACAGTGTATATCGGTTCTCCCAAAGCGCAATCCAATCTCTGTGTCTCACCACCCAGTTAACATCTTTCTTTCCTCGTCTATCTATGTTATGCACGTCGCCTAAATTCCTAGGTGCTCCAGGAATATATTGCGTACAACCATACTGACGGAGCACGCGATCAACTGGATGCCACTCAATAATAGCATAACATATAAGAGGTATAACCGATATCCATACCTCTAATAACCCACTAAGGTGGGGTGGGATGCAAGCTTTCACTTCATCGCTCGCATAAGGTATCCACTGAAACTGAAATATAAATATACAATTCAAATAAATAAAATATTCTAATTATATCTAGCATTTTAAATTAAAATATTAATAATTAAAAAAATTTAAAAACATACCTCAACCCAACTTTCGTATCAATAAGTAAATGAATTTCCTCTAACCCAGTAGGTATACTTTTATGGTCCTTTCTTTTCATCGACCACCTATGAAATATAATATAAACTAAATATCACCCCATTTAATTGAAAATATTTAAATCAAAATTTAGTTCGAAAATTACCTCAACAATAAGGGGAATACGTATGGTTCATTCACGATCGGGCATAAGAAAGGCATGCGGAACCACACCCATGATTGTAGAAGCAGGAGACATCCACCGATAGAAGTTTTCTTATAATTTGTCGCCTGACACATTTCTCTAAAGAGAAATGCCAAAACTGCAGCGCCCCAACTATATCTTCCAGCTTCATCAAAATCGATCAGATGCCGCAACTACATACAATACACCTGGTTGCGAGATTTGTCGGGCATCAATATTCCTCCAATTATTCGTAGAATATATGCCCGAGCACATGCCTTTGCTTGATCCTCTGAAGCATTTTCATTTAAAACCTCAAAATTAGCTTTCAACCAAGATAAAGCTATTCTACATCCATTAAACTCTGGCGGAGCAGCTCCAAGATAATCAATGCACATTGACTGCCAATCACCATCCGCCATACCGCACATCATATTTCCGTCGACGGGAAGCCCCATATGCATAGAGACATCCTCCAATGTAATTGTGGCATCTCCACATGGAAGATGAAAAGTGTGTGTCTCGGGCCTCCACCTCTCAATCAGTGCAGAAATTAGGACAGGTTCGAATTTGCAACCGCCAATAATTGTTGCAATATACTCGAACCCGGCAGAAGCCAAATATGGCAAAATATGTTCCGGTGTCGGTATACGTGGATTTTTAATAAAAGTCTCTAAAATACGATCAGTATCCTAAATAATATACATTATAAAAAATAAAAATTAATATAAATTCATAATAACTTTAAAATAAAAATAAATTTAAATATTAACATTAATTATAAAAATATTACCATATCGCTAAAATGTCTGGAGATATGATCAATATCCAATCGCAACAGCGTTTCGTTTTCCATTATAACTGTAGACAAAACAATATAATTAGCACAAAAAAATAATAATTCTAAATAAATAATAATTATATAAATATTATTTTAATAAAAAAATAATATTTACATAAATATATTAATATAAAATATAATAACTATTTAAAAAATACTAACATAAAAATAAATTTCTTACCACTAATAACAAATTTAAAACTCAAATAGTTGGAGAATTTGAGTTATATAAGAGAGGATAATATGATTTTGGTGTGAAGAATGAGGGAGGGTTGAGGGGGTTTATATATGGGAGGAGGAGGGGTAGTTAGAGAAAACGGATGGGGGCATTTATGGCATTTAATGGAAGGCGCGTCACCGGGGATGCGCTTTCCACACGTGGCAGTCGAGTCAGTGAAGGCGCGTCCCCGGGGATGCGCCTTCCACACGTGGCATCTAACTCAGCAAAATACGGGTAAAGCGCGTCCCCGGAGACGCTCCTTTCGCCAGCTCAGCCGAAAAGGTGCCACTTCAAGAAATATATATTAAACGGTGCTAAAAAAATAAATATTTGATAAATATGTGTCATTTGTCAAATCGCCGGAATTCCCTAGTGAAATATTCCAGCTTCGGAACCTAGAGTATCTTGATCTAAGATCCAAATCTTTGACAGGCCATCTCCCTGAGTCCAACTGGAGTAGTCCCCTCCGGTTGTTGGACCTTTCCCATAACCATTTCAGTGGGTCGATTCCTGCATCTCTCGGAAACCTCACAACAATCGCTTCTCTAGATTTTTCGTCTAACGAATTCGGGGGACCAATTCCAGACGTCTTTGGAAACCTTATCAAGCTTACTGCTTTGGATTTCTATGATTGTAAATTTACTGGTCTGCTTCCCTCATCGATGTTCAATCTCCCACGACTTACCTTTTTAAGTTATCCTCCAATAGGCTAACAGGTCCCCTCCCAACGAACCTAACAGGGCTTCAGATTTTGTTTCAACTCAGTTTAAACGATAACCTGCTAACCGGAGGAATTCCATCTTGGCTTTTCACTTTGCCCTCTTGAAAAGCATTATACCTCAGCAATAACAGTCTCACTGGTCCTATCAATCAGATTCAAAAGCCTAAATCCATTCAACGTGTTTATTTGGCGAAGAATGACATCCATGGTGAAATACCAACTTCTTTCATTGGTCTTATAAAGCTTACCCATCTTGATCTTTCATCAAATAATTTCAGCGCTGCCGTTGAGTTCGATGTGCTTTCAAAGATGAAGAGTCTTACAGAACTTGATCTTTCGAATAACAAGTTGCTATCATGTAGTAGCATTGACAGTGGCAACAACTCCACTTTTCGAGTTCTCGAGGTCTTATACTTATCTTCCTGCAATGTAGGGCGATTTGAGTTTCTTACGATCATCCAAAAGCTTGAGGCTTCTTGATCTTCCCAATAACAGAATTCAGGGCACATTTTTGAAGTGGGAATCAAGGTTGGGAAAATTTGACCTATCTAAATCTTTCTCACAACCTATTAACTGATTTAGATCAATTTCCATTGAAGAATCTTGTTACGCTTGATCTTGGTTTCAACCTGCTCCAAGGTTCCCTACCGGCTCCACCACCTTCATTGCAAGAATTCTTGATTTCAAAAAACAAATTGAGTGGAGAAATCCCTCCTTCCATTTGTAATTTGACATCACTTGATATTCTTGATTTGTCCAGCAACTACTTGGGAGGAATTATACCTGCTTGTCTTGGAAATTTTAGTCAGGGGATCTCAACCATAAACCTGCAAATGAATAACTTTCGAAGTAGATTCCCTGATTTTTGTGTTGAAGACAATATTTGATGACGCTTTTAACGACAACCAATTAGAAGGGTTATTGCCAGGATCATTGGTTAATTGTACTTCGTTACGTTTTTTGAACGTAGCAAATAACACCTTAAATGATCTCTTTCCCATCAGCTCAGTGTTCTTCCAGACCTGCAAGTTCTTATCCTACGCTCTAATAGGTTTCATGGTGGACTACACAATTCCAAGGCAACCTCTGGCTTTTTAAGTTTGCAAGTCATTGATCTCTCTCAAAATAAGTTCACTGGTCCCTTGCCAACAACATTCTTCCCGAGTTTAAGGGCTATGCAAGTTGTAGATTCTCGTCAAACGATAAAATGCGGTCGAGCTACTCCAGATGTTATGTGTATAGCTGACTGCGAAGGTTGCGGCGCAGTCAGATATAAAGCAGTTATGAAATTAAACATGAAAAGGTTGGAGATGGAGCTTGATCTGGAGAAGTCATTAAGTAGTGATTTCACACACTTTGATTTTTTGAACAATCAGTTCAATGGACGAATCCCTGAGGTACTTGCTGAACTTTGTTCTCTTCTGGTGCTCAACCTCTCGCACAATAGCCTAACTGGTCCCCTGCCGTCGTTGCTCGGAAGTATAGCAGCACTTGAATCGTTAGATCTCACATCAAACAAGCTTGGTGGCAGAATTCCTTCCGAGTTGACCAAACTAACATTTCTGGAAGTGTTAAACTTGTCACAAAATAATTTTGTCGGACCCACTGTCAAAGAAATGTGGGAATGACGAGGATCCAAGGACACCAACATCAAAGCTTGGAGAAGAGAAAATTTCGGCAATAGCCTTCATCTGGAAACCTGTAATGATGGGCTATGGGTGTGGAGTAGTGTTGGGACCGAGCACAGGATACATTGTATTCACGACTGGAAGACCGCACTGGTTCGTGAGAATGGTCGAGAGAGATTGGCATAGGAATTTTACAAGATGGATTCGCAGGATTGGTATAAAAGCAAACCAGCATTTCATCACCTTTTTGTTATAGTGTAATTTGAGCTGAATCGGAGGGAAAATGCACCCCTGCTCTCGTATGATTTGGCTTGAAGCCTATGTTTTTCATATATAAATAGAATGGATGCATCATCTCTGCCATTACTTGCCAATTATAGATAGGTGGAAAGTAAAAAAGTTTCTGTTAACCTCACATTTATCATTCATGTATAGAAACAAGGAGCCAAGTTTCTTTATCAAATTAAGCCATTCCTTTGTCATTTACTAGCTTTTACTCGACAACGAATTGAGGAATGGATTCTGTCCACAACATACATTTCATGGAAGCTAACTTTGTGGTCCTAAAGGAAGCAAACAAAGTTGCAGGCAAAGAAATCAAATTCAGAACAAAGATTGGTAAATTTTTCAATTAAGAAAACAGTTCAACACTGACAATTGACCTGAGTCTCAATTCAATAAAAAGACTTCCAGAGGAACATAAGGAGAATCTGTTAATGATCCAAACCCGTACGTTGGCTGTAACAATCTGCAACCTTTAGCACAGGGGAGGGCTAGGAGGCGTGGTCCAGTGCTCATCTGCCAGACCTGTGGTCAAGTAAAAACCATTCATATGCTCGATCACTTCATACAAGAAATAGATGCATATGACTTCAGTACCAAGTACATAAGATTAATTATATATGAAGCTCTAAGAACTGCATATTGAAAGAAAACCATCTGAAACTACTCCAGCTTTCAATGCACAACACAACTCAAGTCATGGCAAAGCCAAATATCTGTAAATATTAGTAACATTGGATCCGCTCATGAAAAGATAAATTAAGATGTTTCTTTTAAGAAAAAGATAAATTCATCAACCCATTTGCACATTTATATTTACTTGAATCATGTAAGAACTCAATCAAAAGTCACAACCATCTATAGGGAGAGCGTCCACATTGGCTTTTTGCGTGTAGCCCCAATGTACCCTACACTTGTGGATGATTAGATGATATAAAACCACTGGTAAATAGTAATGCACCATATGACGATAAAAGTTGCAAGACTATTGCTGTTCTCACCTTAATGGTTGTGATATACTGATATGAAAAAAGGTTCTCATGGTCCTAAAACAAAAAGCACAATGACTCTGTATCTAGGTTTCTTGATCTTAGATTTGTAAGCCATCAAACATTTAAACTAGAATCTGGAAATTCCAAATAAAGAAACAATAAGAACCAAATAAAATAATATAAAAATCTCAATAATTCCTTTTCGGGGCGCATGAATGGCTAAACAGAGGCAATAGTCACTCTTTCCTGGTGCATGGTGAGAGGAACTAGGACGTTTGTCATCTCTATTGACTAACATTTCCATGAAAAAGCAGTTTGCATCGCGATATCCCTGAAAGAGTGCATGAAAATCAATGCTCAGACAAGGAAAAAGAGCTGTTGATTTCCAAGAAATGCAGAATTGATAAAGCAAAAGAAACCTTCCATAGTCGCACTACTACAAGGGCTTGAGTATCTAAGAGCAATACTCAACCGAGTGAATCTGTGATAGCGGCCAAAGTGCCACTGGGTGATAAAGTGAGCTTCTCACCCTTTCCAGGGTAGTCCTTCAAACATGTCAATGGGGAAGCTGGCATAAATCATGACATCAGTGACTTATTCAATAGGTTTTGAAAAAGCATTAATAAGGATAACTAAAAGAAGGGTTAAGATTTGTATGCTAAGTACGCCTGCTAATATTTAGACCACAACATAAAGACACAATAAACTTGCAAATTCATTATCTGAGAATATGATAGAATCATAGAAACAGATTAATTTTATCTTAAATACTCTCTCTATCTACTAAAATATTTAACTGCACATCAGAACACACTAAGATGAACCCTATGGTTCAGAATAAGCACATAGATGAACAGCATAAATAAGCAGGTGCAACAATGAGAAGGAAAATTATGAAATTAAGAGACTAAAGATGAGCTTGGTAAATACAATGAGATGAGAAAGATGCAAGCAGCCAAGCAGCATTTCCATGTTTAAACATAAGATTGCCAAAACATACTTGTGAAATGTGATTGAACCAAAACAATAGTGAGAACTAAAGATCAGTAAAATGAATGTAAATCAACTTCAATCACTAAAATTTGATTCTGAGAACAAATTTCTTGAAGGGTAATTAGATGACAAAAATGGATTTTGGGCAGGCACGCACTTTTAGAGATTCAACCTACCCAATATCAAAGTACCATGGGCACCCGAACCAAATAACGACTCACATGAAAAGAAAAATTAGCAAACTTCACCTTGAGCAAATGATTGAAGCTTCTCTTCTGGTTTCCTGTTTGGTGTTGGTTCACTCCGGCATACCGTTTTTGAAAAGGAAGTAATAGCGGAAAATGTGGCAGGCATAACTTTTGACAAAATAGCTCCTATCAACAAACGTTTCCTATCTACTGAAAGTCTTCAGCATGGTTAAAAGAAATTAATCAGTAAAACACAAGAAGAAGGAAGAAAAGAATCCATCTTTTTGTGGAAGGTAAATCATATAATATCTTGAATGCAGAGAAACAAACCTGAAAGCTGAGATCACAGCATCATCTCCAATGGTGAGTGCACAATAGTAATGTTGATTTGACCGCCCAACAATAAAAGCAGCTGAATTCATATAACAGAATAACTTCAGAGGACTTCCATAATTCATTGGAGAAGAAACCAAAACCATACATAAAAATGTACCACAAGGAACAAGAAATGAACAGGGAACCAGCAAAAGCAGTTTTCACATGCGCATTTGAAGATCAAATAGGCAGCAATTAAGAATATGAAAATCAGTTATTGCACATTTTCAATCTTATCAAGGGCTTATAAGATCAAGCAACATAAGAAAAATCACCTGGAATTCCATGAGTGGAGGAGGCATTATGCCAGTGATTGCTACATCAACACATGACCCATACTTCCTAACATTCCTCTAGATCTTCCTTTGATTTCTCATCCAAAAAACGAGAATGTGTATCTTGAAACCACCTTTGAAGCATACTCTACAATAGCAGAGGCATATCTGACAGTCAAACATGTCCCACTTATACACATTGCTAACACTTTGCTTCTGCATAAAATAAACATGTAATATTTATGTCATTTTCAGAATAACCATCACACTTTCAAGCAGCTAATAGCTCACCTGAATATCAGACCCATCAAAATGAGAAATTACACCAGGCAAGACAACACATACATCCTCTTGAGGATATGTCTTGCATCAGGCCTTTCTTAGTCCCACGACCTCTTAACTTGATGATTTGTCTGTGATATACCATCTATAAAATTAAATATTAAATACAAGTTACGTTTCCAACAACAATTTACATCCAAACTTATCTCCATCTAATAACAATAGATGCAAGTACAACTGATTTTAACATAAGATCTCATTTAGCTTATTATTTTATGAAATACATAAGACTATGCAGTTTACGTTTTGCTAAAAAAATAACACCAATGATGCTAATTTCACTTTGCATATTTTTTTTGTACGACAAGAAGCTCATTTTCCACCATGATACATGCATGCCAAATTGCCAATTGACCTATTACATTCTAACACACCAAGCTTAGCATGCAACAAAACATTAAGCATCAATAAACCTATGGAAACAGTATCTTAATGACATTAGAAAAACATAAAATAATAAATAAATAAATAAATAACAGCATTGAATAAATTAGAAATCATCACACTACAGCTTTGTAGATGCTTCTACTACTTTTTTCCAAAAGCATAACATGAAAAATAATTTTGAAGAATTAAAAATAAAAAATGGAATTTTAAGATAAGCAAATGCATTATTCTACTTTTACATGAAATAACTATCTCTATAGTTAACATTTTATTCCAGTCACTGTTCATTTAATTAAGTTATACAATTTTTCTCTAGAGTCTAAAGTCTATACCAACCTCTCGAGAAAATATCAATTACAAACAAACCAAAGTAAAAAGAAGAAGAAAATAACGTAAATAGGAATATTACCTGTCTATGAATCAAATCACCACGCAAAGAGTAAATCAGCAGGAATCCTCTGGAGGTGCCGACTGCAATCACTTTAATATCATCGAAAACCAGCCACTCGATGGCCGTGATGCGCTCTGCCTCGATAGGTGATAGTTAGGGTCTGATCTTAACTCTCTGTTCATCCGGGTCGGACCATCCGAAGATGAGAATAAGAGATCGGTTAGCGACTGCGAAAGAATTGGCGTCTAGAGCGCAAAGGACGGTGGTGCCGGCATCAGGGGCTAGCCAACCTTCCTTTCCGGCACCGAATATCGTCAAATCTGCGAAAACGATGCAGCCGAGTTCCGTCAAGTGGTGGCTCCGCTTGGCTATTGGCATTAGATTTCGATTTTTCTACCTTTTTCTTCACTTTCGCAGGTGAGTTATGGAAGAAAGAATTTTGTATAGGTAGGGAAAGCACGTGACCTTCTCGGATTCACATATCTAGCAGTTATTTATATGGTTAAATATGCTCCAAGTTCCTCTACTTCTCCATACATTATAATTTAGTCCCCACACTTATATGTAGTTTACGCTTTTAACTTCTATCCAATATTCTGACGTGGCAAGATCAGAAGCGTCGATTTAACTTACAATATCCCAAAGTCAACACTCGATCTCTTTTCAAAGATAAGAAAGAGTGTAAACTTCCACCATAGTCCTAAAACCTGCGTCGCAAATTCTCCTCGTAAACAGAAAAGGAAAACAAAATGAGCATCTTTTCACTAACAAGGTCAAAATCCCATTTCAATTATATATAAATTTCAACCTTTTTTTTAACAAAAAAATAATTTTCTTATTCTTCAATTTTTCATGCAGTGCTTGCAGTTCTTTGGGATTTAATTCCTCCATCTTGACAGTGCAGTTGGGATTTCACTGTAATGAAACTAATAATTTCCCTGGAGCTTTTGTTTCTTCTCCTAAAAGAACAAAAACTAAGAAGTTTTATGTAGCATGCTCTTCTGCTACAAGTAAAGTTCATTTCATCGCTTTGCTTTTCTTTTTATTTTAGTTTTCTGGGTTTCTTATTGCTGGGTTTAATTCAAAATGGATTTTCGTTTTTTTCCTTGATTGGGCTGGTTGGTAGTTTTGTTTTTATATTATGGGTGTTCAGTGAATATGATTAAAGGTTGTACTTTTAGGAGAATTTCGTTTAGAATTGAATGCATTTTGTCTCAAGCTACTGTTTGTTCTGAAAATGTCTACTTAGTCTGAAGATAAGATCAGGCCATAAATGAAATGGATTAGATTCTTTTAAAGATATGTTTTTGAGTATTGCAGTGATTGGAGCATGGATAGCAGTTGATATGCCTTGGTTTAGGATGTAAAACGGCTTTAATATCCAATGGTATTATAATGAAATTTTATTATTTTTTACTTTTCTAATAAATGATAATATGATTAATGGTATAGTTATAAAAGCTGTGAACCTCCATGGTTTCAATTTGAGATCCTTTTCTGTAACCTGTACGAATTTGACTAATTATTCCACCTTACTAGTGAAAAAGTCATTTTTGTAATGTTGTTGGTATATCCAGAATGGCAAGAACATTCTTCTCTTTGGAATTTACAGTTGTTATCAACTTATGCTCTGTCTCCATTCATCTGGTTTTTAGACCCATTGTTGGTTAAAGCTGCAAGAGGGGATCCTGTAAGTCGGCCTCCTGCATGGATGATGCGCCAGGCAGGAAGGTATATGGCTGTTTACAAAAAGCTTGCAGAGAAACATCCATCCTTCAGAGAGAGGTCTGAGACAACTGATCTCATTGTGGAAATTTCTTTGCAGCCTTGGGAAGCTTTCCGCCCTGATGGAGTGATAATTTTCTCCGATATACTTACTCCACTGCCTGCATTTGGTGTCCCATTTGACATTGAAGAAGTTAGGGGCCCTGTCATTCAGTCACCGATTCTCTCTGAGGATTGCTTGAAGGCATTGCATCCTATTGACTTGGAGAAACTACATTTTGTTGGGGACTCCCTTAAAATTTTGCGCCAGGAGGTGATTGTCTGTTTTAATAGTGTGCATTATTTAAAATATGTCTTACAAATTTTCTAAAGTTTTTTGTAATTGTCGAGTTTCTTTTTCTTTTCCTTATACAGTATTTTTGTTATGTAGGTTGGTGATCATGCAGCGGTGCTGGGCTTTGTCGGTGCTCCTTGGACAATTGCCACATATATAGTAGAGGGAGGTACAACCCGCACTTACACAAACATAAAGAGTATGTGCCACACAGCACCAAATTTATTGAGGGCCCTTCTTTCTCATTTAACAAAGGCAATAGCTGAATACGTTATTTACCAAGTGGAGTCTGGAGCGCATTGCATACAAATATTCGATTCATGGGGTGGCCAACTACCACCTGATATGTGGGAGAAATGGTCAAAGACTTACATAACTGAGGTAAGTTGGCACTTAGTTGATTTGATAAAGCATCATTGTCTTGCCTTACTGAATAATTCTCACCTCGTTGCTTAGAAATTGCCCAGTTATTTTTTGTCTTAAAGCTAATTAAGCTCTGCATGATACTTCAAGCTCTGTTTGATTGCTGTTTTTCTACTTCCTGAAGAATTGGTATAAGGTGAAAGCAAACTATAAGAAACAAAATCATATTTCATTAATATGAGTGAATGACTAAAATGTAAAACCAATCAAGTATATTATTTGATATAAAACTATAAGGTTATGAATTTTGAAAATTCATTTATTTTACGGAAGAGCACTGCTTTTTATAAATTATATAGAAAAAAGGGACAGAAAAATTAGACGCTTCTTCTATTACTAGTTACTACCAGCAATCGGTTCCTATTAAGTGGTTTGAGAACAATTTCCTGGGATTACATGTTTCTATACCTTTTAATGTCTCTCTTTTGGGTTCTTGAAATTGCAGATTGTGAGCATAGTACGGAATAAATGCCCTAAAACACCCCTTGTTCTATACATTAATGGAAACGGTGGCCTCCTTGAGCGCATGAAAGGAACCGGGGTTGATGTGATTGGACTTGACTGGACAGTGGATATGGCTGATGGAAGGAAGCGGTTGGGTAATGATATCAGTGTGCAGGGAAATGTCGACCCTGCTTATTTGTTTGCTCCACTTCCTGCAGTGACAGAGGAAATTCAAAGGTTTGCCATATCATTTGAACGTTGTTCTTGAATTTTCTTTATCTATATTTGAATGTGGATTCTTGTTTCATTTGTTGCTAATATTGTTATGGACACACACACAAAGGTCACTTGATTAATATAAGATGGCTCAGTAGATTTACAATTGTGAAGCAAGTACCTTACTTGAGGAGTAAATGTCTGATCCTGTGTGCCTGACCAACTGTTGACTTAACGAATATTTATGACTATGTATGTTGGTATATTCAAAGGCAATGTTAGAATATCGGTCACAATGATAAAGACGCATAAACTTTTAGATCTTTAAGTTATGTTTCCGTGTCAAATATAACTTAAACTATGCTTCTAACTGGTCCAGTGGTTTAAACTGGTGCATTCTATTTTTCAGGGTTGTTAAGTGTGCAGGATCACGTGGGCACATTCTTAATTTGGGTCATGGCGTTCTAGTCGGGACTCCTGAAGAGGCCGTGGCACATTTCTTTGATGTCACAAAAAGCTTGAAGTATGACAGTTCATCTCAAAATCATGCCATGGAGGAATCTAAATTGTTAGTTTGAGAACATTATGGTTAGACGGAATCCTGAGATTTTTTCCCCCTATAAATTGGCCCTTGATGGTTTAAATCAAATCTTATCCCTGCATCACAACCTCATAATGTTTAATCAATTTGCATTATTTTAAAGGGGTTGATTGGAGTTTGGCTCTAGTACATCCTTTAGGATAAGCTGGTTAGGTATATTCATTGTGCCAGTTATTAAACTTTGGGGATGAATGAAATTCCTGATTTTTTTTTTTTTTTTGTATATTTGAAGTCTATGCATTAATTTGAGTATTTGGTTCAAGTTTAAGCCAGGCGAAGTTTCCACTTTATGTGCGAGTTTATCAATTCTTATGAACCTTCATATCATTTTATTAGCAGCTGCCTGTAGATGCAGAGAATGATTAGTTTAGTTATAGTAAGTAATTTTTAATGCTGGTTTTGGTTCCAAGTTGACAGACTTGTGATAGAAATTTGAGCTGAGTTCTGCAGAGGGGAAGGAATGCAGGTTCCCTACTCTGAATTTTCTGTCTGTTACTGTGAAATGCTCTCTTGTCGATCATCGCATGGGACGTGCGATTTTATGTTTTTCGATCATGCAAGTCTTCTTTCAAATGTCTGTCTCAATTCTCGTTCCTTAATTTGATATTTATGTTAAGGGTAAATTAAAATTTTCTTACTCAACTTTCTTCTTACTCCTATTTTGATCATTAAAATTTAAAAAATTTCAATTTATTCACTAAACTTTCGATTTGTTCTTGTTTTGGTCACTCCATTATTAAATTCTAAACGACGTTATAACTGGACATTTTCCTTTTAAAAATCATGAAATGTCTCAAAAAAAAATCTCATTTTTTATGAAAAAAAAATTAGTTTTGAATTCCATTTAATTTTTCGAAAAGGAAACATTTTCTTCTAAATTCCAATTGTGAAGAGATGGAAATGGAAAAACACTAGTTGTATATCTTAATCCCTTTATAATTTAATTACAGTTTTCTAACAAAAAACTTAATACACTTTTTAGTGCCTAAATTGTATCTCATAATACGATTTGGCGTCTAATTTTTTTTGCTAAAAATAGGTGTCTAACGTTTCTAATGTTATACTTTTATGTGCCTAGACTGTAACGGTCGTTAAATTTGACTATTATATGACATGTGTCACGCATATAAAATTTCAAAAGTTATTTTATTTAAAGAAACACTTAATATTATAATTTAAAAAATAAAAAAACGTCTAAATTTTACATCTTTCACCGCCGATCGGCTATTGTCGTTCCTTGACCGTCACTGTTGACACCATCAGAACCATCTCACCTTCGAGACCAAAACTCAGTCCCTCACTCACCGTGAAACTGCACCGATCGTCGTGAACAATGCCACGAAGGGTCATAAGATATCTAGGTTTTTTGTTGTTGTTTTCCGATAATTTTGACGACTACAACCATTCGTACGTTACACAACCGCCACTGTTGAGTTCCTCGTCCTGCTCCGAACAAAACCCAATTGGTTGTGACCCTTCATCGTCGGAGATGGGGATGGGAGGGAGAGTGATTACACAAGAGGGCTTTTTTTAAATAAATAATATTTTTGTTATTGAAAAAATTAAAAATATAACGGTAGGCACCTAAAAGTTCAATAGAGAAACGTTATGAACCTATTTTTAATGAATAGTTCTTTAGGTACCAAATTGTATTTCGAAGTATAGTTTAGGACTTAAAAGTGTATTAAGCCAAAAAGAAATAAGGCTTCGCCTTTAGAGCCATTTTTCAAAAGTTAAATTGTGATCCTTCCTACGAAGAATTGGTGGATTGAACCTTGTGGTTGATACCGGTTCTGCTACGGTGGCGGAAGCATTAGCTTATGAAGCATTGCTTTCTCGCTCAGAGATGGTGGTGAGCGAGGTTATCTTTGGAGTATGTACATACTAGTTGAAATCAGCTTTTCCTTCAAGCGTGGATCTACTTATACGATATGATTATCATTCATTTTCATTGAATCAATCTATCTTAATCCCTTGTCGATCAACAGTAATTAAATTATTAATTTGAAAACCTGCTACAACTTTAAGAACCCTTGAAACAACACCTGCCATGCGACTGAGACAAAAGGTGGGGTCTTTAAGACAAGAAGTATGAGAGAGAAAAGAGGCAATTGCATGCTTTTTACCTCTTCGTTTAAGGTTACTTACAAATGGTTTTAGGGTCTTCAACTTGCTTCCACAAGAAGACAATCCTAAAGGTTGAAATGCATCCTTCCTTCTTTATACACTTGCAAATATTGTCTATGCACAATCATTTTAAGTGGGAATTAGTTTTTAGTGATTCGACAAGATCTTATGTAAATCTTTTAAATGATTATATTTTAAAAAATATCTTATGAACAAACAATATTTAGAAAACACGGCTCTTTAAAATAAGAAAAAGTAATTTTTTATTGGTCAAATCATATCTTTCTTGTCTGTTGTATCTTAAAGAAAGTTTAAAGTTGATATTGAGATATACAAACTTTTTAATAATAATAATTTTAAGTCTGAATCTAACTGTTCACAAATAACCAATCGAAACTAAACTAAATTATAGAACCTCAAAAAAATTTATACCTTTTTTAGATTAGAAATCAATATGAAACTAAATAATCTTTTCTATACAATATGTCAACTATTCAGACGTCTCACTATTTATAGATCAAAGGATATTACACGCTCAAATTCATGTCCTTTAATATGATGCAACAAAAGTACCAACCTAACTAAAACTCTGGCATTGAATGAACAAATTGACAAGAATTTTAGGAATCCTATACCTCTATCAGTGCAGATTTTCTTGCTTTCAAACAGATCATTAACCCTTATGATGGTCGCCAATTAGCCTACAATAATTCTCTTTGTACAAGCAAAAAATCAAACAGAAAAGAGAAAACTCAAGTTATTTTTTATGCTGGCTAAGATTAAAAGAATCAATTGTGCTCCCTCCATCTAATATATCTTAGTCCTCATTGTACCATTGATTTGATCCTTGGTTTAGTGCTATGGCTGAATTTCATTTTCAAGTCTTATGATATAAATATATATATATCATGTTTCTTCAGTAAATTCATGAAAGATTAAGGAGTCATTAGTGTTATGAATGCCCCCACGTTTTGCTAGTGTTGAGAATTGGAGCACATGTACATCTTTAATCCAAAGGCATTGGCTGAAAAAATTGTGCTGTAATGACTGTAAAATTACATCAATCTGAAAAGTCTAAACTGCAGTCTAGTAATCAAGATAAACTTCATCATCTTCCTAGTACAATCTGATAGACATCCAATGTTAGTGGCTGTTATACTATCTAGGGAAGAAATGGCTAAAAAAAGATATCATTTCAACAAGTCTAGAAGACTGATTAGGTATACATCTGACAGAAATAAAGTTAAAACAACCACAATGGACCTTGAACTGCATGAGAAAGATCATGAAAGAAGAGATAATATCGAACATATTCGAATCTTAAAGTCTATGAAAGAGAAGATAAGTAATGGGACAACTCTATGTAGCTATACTTTCAAAACTTTCAAACTTTGGGATTTTGGCCCCTCAAAGCATATCAGTCTCTCCTGGTTCCAAGGGAATTGTTTTTCAAGTTGCAATTCAACCTGAACTTTTCTCAATAATTTCCAGCTACCTTATCAACCTTTTATTGACATTAAGCTTCACTTTGCGTATATGTTCTTACTTTTATAATTGTACATTATATTCTCAATGCCCCACCTTTTTATTTCAAGTTTGATTCACACCTACATCCCAATACATGCATATTTTTTTATATGATTGATTAAAGTTGAATTTTAATCAATATGGTAACATACCATGGTGTCCCTTGCTGATATTTGTAGCATTTTATAATGATTGTCATTCTCTTTTCTTTCTACAAAGGGGGCCATGGTGTTTGCTATATTTAATTCAAAACTAAGTTTTTTTTTAAAAAAAAAATTGGAATTATTCTTATACATGAATCTTCTCTTACTTATTCAATCTATTCATGGATAGAATAATAATCTAGTACTCTATCCATATATATTCAATCTCCTTAGGAGTAGTATAAGCATTACTAAAACTACATAAACTAAGCTTGAATAGGGATAAGCAGGGATTGACCAAAGAGCGGGTGGGGTAATTGTCTCCTGAAAATTTTAAATTCTCAAATATTTTAAGTATTTTCTTTCTTTAAAATTTTATAAGTTCGTCTCCTAACATAAAATGTTGTATCTGTCCCTTGGGGTAAAGGTTATTGCGTTCAAAATATCAGAAAATTTGGCCATTTTTCACTGGAAGTTAACAAGAATTGCAGATACAGTAGCTAGTTAGGGGACATGGAAATGGTGGGAATTAGGAGAAATTTTATCCTTGAGTGGAAGAAGGAAGGTTAATGACAGTAATTACTAGCTTGTGTAATTTTTTTTATTAACTTGAAGAGGATCCAATGATGTTACTGTACAAATCAAAGAACATTATGAAGATGTGGGGCAAGATAAATTTAAGTGGGGAATGAAAAAATATATATGAAATAGAAAAAATTATAAAAAGGGGGTTCTCTTATATTTTTATGACTGTCATTACTCCTAAAATCCTAATATTCAAATGTATCTATAATTGTATTATAATATATGATATAAATAGAGATATACAAACAGACAAAGATGATAATATATGATATACATAGGTCCTAGAGAGCCAACCACTTTATATGTAATAATTTAATGTACTATCTTCCTAATCCTAGATGTTGAAGAAGATCCAATACAGTAGTTTATACAAAAGTATAAAAAAACAATACTGATAAACAAAAAATTGAACAGTTGAAGTATGAAATTATCAAAGTTGTTTTCATAATCAATATACATATACCTGGAGAATACTAGTTCATGGAACATACTTAATTGCATTTGACAAAATACTACAAATTTAACTAACTTGAAATATAAAATAGAAGAAGAAAACCAAAGCAACTTACCCTCTTCAACTCCAGTTTATATCCATAAATATTTATATATATTGTCCCCTTTCCCGCTTTGATTCTCATTTAAAACAATAAACGCAGTGCTGATGAACTAGCCATCTACCAGTATCTTGATCCAAGGAGGAAACGATTGCTGATTTCCCAGTAAGATGAAACTTTGGCATGATGATGTAATACTAGTAAGCAAACTGATTCAAGCTCTTGGAATTTTATTTTAGGACCTGAAATGATTTAATCATGTGATCAGTGAACTTGAAATCTGGGTTTCTTGAAATGATTTTAAAGGATGTGATGGTGAAATTTGTTAATGATTTTGGCATAATTATGATGTTTTTGCATTTTTCATGTTGCTTGGACACTAATATTAGCTGCAGAGCATTTGTGGGTTATATTAAAATAGGGGTAAACAATTAGCACTTTTCTGATGCAGACAAAAGAAGATCTGATTCTTTTGCCTTGATTGCAAATAGAATTATCACCCAAGAAAAGGACATTCATTTAATGGCAAGTTAAATTAAATCATTAAAAAAGTTAGTATTATTATAAATCTGATGAAATACCGTATATCTTAATCTATTATATATGTTGGATACCTTAGTAGTATAGCTTATGTTATCTGCAGCAAAATAACAAAGACAATGAACAAGCATTTTGGGTTTAGCCTACTGTCTTGTACTCTTGTTGATCTTCAATCATGATATTTTCTTAATATTATAAAAAGGAAATTAATATATATATATATATTATATTTAAAGTGTTATGACCATTAATGGCGAGCACAAGTTAGTGCAGAATCCTAAAAGAGCAAGGACTCACCAAGAGTAAAATTATTGAGATTTTTGCATGAGAGAGAGAGAGAGAGAGAGAGAAAATGAACGGGAAGAGGAAGGAGAAGAGCTTTGTATGTGTTCATATCAAATTCATGTTTGTTATTGATATTAAGGTAAAGTTTCTCAGTGCTGTTATTATGTTTTGTCTTTCTTAAAGTTAACAAAGTTACAAATTAGGGTTTTGAAGACCTAGGGTTTATCATCCATGGCAGAAAATGTTTTGGCCTAAATGTATAAGTTTTAAACAGGCTTTGGGGTGTTAGAAATTGTTCTTCTTTCTTTTCAGTAATTTTCTTCCTACAGGTAATTTTCTTGAAGTAAAGTAATCAACTGACAATTAAAGCTTACTTAATCTATTGATTATAGAATAATTCAATTATTTTCTTGTATTATGGATACCAGATCTTATGCTGTTAACTAGGACTATTAATGAAGGAAAATAGTTACCATAAGAGAATCAAGGTTGCTGAATTGGGAAGCTTGAGCTAACTTCGTTAGCCTTCAATGGATTCCTCTTCTTCTTTTTCTTCTTATAAGGAATTCCCCGAGCTTTAGCCTGGGAATCCCTCACTTCACGAAGGTAAATCCTTATAGAACCGCTGGCAAAAGGGTTGGTCTCAGGTAACCCGCCATTCTCCTCGTACGCAGCCCGGAGCCGACCGATGAGAGCATCGAGGCTACCCCAAGCTTGTCTAAGCGGGCACGTGCATGGCCCCGGCGGTTCCGGTTGCCCGAAGAACACGCAACCTTGTAAGTGCACCTTAGTCTTGCCGAACTGATCGAGATAACGAAGAAATTCGAGGACATGATTGGCGTTACACTGCGAAAGTGCAACCGGTGGCCTTTGGTTCCTTAAGTATTGACCGAAAGTGTTCCAATCTCTTCGCTTCTGTGACTCGTATCGGCTCAACGGTGGCGGATTCCGCTGATCACCAACACCACCAGCACCAACACGAGCGCCATCAGCAGTACCAGCAACAGTGGCTAGTATTGAAGAGCCTTCAGCTACTTCCTTCCCTTTGTTGATTGACATCATTGTATTTACCTAATCAAAGAAGAAAAGGTGAGGAGAAGAACAAATTTGCAGAGAAGATAGAGGAAGATGAAGATCACATCAATGGGGGAGCTAAATTGAGGGGGACAAGTAATGGGGCCTATGAAAGTGCTTTAGTTATTCTTTTTCTAGCTATCACAATATTTTTCTTCCTTTAATCGTACAATTAGCATCAACTATACTATACTTTTTTTTCTATTTATTTATAATTATGCTTCCATCATCCAAGCAATCATTATAGGCTACATTAGTCTAATTACCACTAAGTTTTAACATTTCTCACCTGGTTTTCCTTTTTACCGTGAAGTAAAAGCTAGTTTGAGTGACTTGATTTACTGGTGCAGATCAGATACCTTGTGCTGCGAGGTCATGGTTTATATATATATATATATATATATCATGTGTTTTAAATAAAAATTAATATTTCATGCATTAATAGAATATATTTTTATACATCATCGATAAACTAAAATGATACATTATCTATCTTTTATATATCATCGATTACAGTCGACGGTACCAGAAGGAGAGGTAGACCAAGGCGGAAATGGGAAGACTGTTTGAGATCTGATTTGAAGGATTTAGCCCTTATCGATGACATGAACTCTAATAGGAAATTATGGCGACTTAAGACCAGGGTAGCCGAGTAGGGCGAGTCACATCCGTGTATCATCTTTGTCTTCTTTTAATGCCTTTGTAGTAATTTCATTACTTATACTTTTTATACGTTTCTGTCATTGGAATTTATGAAGGCCTAGAACTAAGGTAGCGGAGTAGTGTTGCCTTAGTTTATGTTCTAACCCATTTGACTTTATCCCTTCTCGAAGCCTGCTATCGTTGAATTTTGTGTATACTGCTCAACATGTTTCCTCTTTATAATTTTGGCCGGGTCTTACGTTTCTGTCTATATGCAGATATTTTTATGCAGGGATTTATTTGCAGGGATTACTTACCATTACAGACGTGCATATGAGGACTGCATATGAAGATTGTTCAACTACGTATTTTATTTATTTATTTAAGTATGCATTGTATTTTATCTTTATTTTTAATTTTTTTTGACTGTCGGAGGTCCTCCACGGAAGCTGCTCTCAACCTGGCGTTGGAGGACAACCTACTACCCTACCTCCCCTTACCCTATTACATATGGAAATATGGTTTTGTTGTTGTTGTTGTTATTAATTATATATATATATACATATATGCGCGCGCGCTCTTTTTAGGTATCTATAAACTAAGAAATAAATTAATGCTCTTTAATCCATGTTGAAATTGAGGAATATCAGCAGCCCTTCTTTTGTATTTAATGGCTTACTCTATAGGGTTAAGTCCTTATCAATTCATTTAAGATAACTTTAATTATTAGAATTTTGACAACCACTGTTTCGTTCTTTTTTATCCTTTATCAATTTTTTGAAGCGGTTGTAAGATTTATGTTAATATCAATTTTTTTAAACAATATTTAAAACTTAAAATTTGATTTTATGAATAAGATAAATTAAATTTGAAAATTTACTTACATATTATACTTTTGTAATGTTTGATGTAAATTAATCGATTACACGGATAAAAATAATATATTGATAAATACATGAATTGGAAACTCAAACTTTCACCTCTCCTTGTTTTCAACAGTTTGATTTTGACTCCCGTTGATGGGGGGTAGGCACAAAATTACAGTATATCTTGTAGACGAGCTGGTTGACCCTTGAAATGATTTCCCCGTATATTATAATGAGCAGTGATGGAGTTACATACAAAACACCATGAATGCCCAATGAGAAGGCTGAACAGTCGCCACGTTTCGGAGCTTCAGTGGAGGAATTCATGGTGTTTGAGAACTGGGCTGTTACTGTAACAATTTCTCTTTGAAGATGGAAGTCTCTAGCCATCACTATATAGCCATTGCACCACCATCAACACCGTCTCCCACTGCTGTTAATGCATTATATATATGATCCTAACTACTATTATAATATTGATTATAAATGATGTTTTCCTTTTGATTCCTTTGTGAATTTGACATTTGGATTCTTTATCAGAAACCTGCTTCCAGACACTGCTGCATTTGGTATGTATTTCGGATTTTCCTCCCTGTAATACATTAGTACAATATGCTTAAAGTAGAAGACGTTGTTAGAGTTTGTAAATCGAATTTTATTTTATTTTATTTTAATTTAAAAAATTTACGATGTGATATGTTTGGTGAAAGAAAGATTTTGAGAAAAAAATTATCGTGGAAGGGGATGTAATTTCAATTGTGAATCGTCTTGCCAACTCACATCAAGATATCTTGGTGATCAAATTGATGTTCAACGAGGCTCATGCTAATCTCAAGGGATTATTCTGCCAAAAGGTCCATTTTGTCAACCACGAGGCTAATCGGGTGGTATACACACTAGAGCGTTGAACATTGTCGAGGATTGATCCTTTTTATTTTATGTTTGATGAATCATATTATAATAAAAATGATTTATGAATACCATTGACATTTGAATGAAACCCTTTTCCTTTTAAAGAAAAATGGTGTTAACAGATAAGGTTCTAAGCCCTAAGTGCCTAAGCTCATGTGGACGATGCCTATGACATTCCGAGTTTTCTTAGACCTCTTTTTGATCTTATTTGGATCTATATAACAACTTCATTACACAAAAGAGATTTAAATATTTATACATGTAACATACATACAAAGGGTAAAGATTATTAATACAATATAAAATTTAAAAATTTTGTATGAAAAATATAATCATTGAATAAATTTATAAATAGATAAATAAATACAAAAAACTTTATAATCATCGATGTAAACATGAGAATTTACACTTATAATTTTTTCTTCCTTACCAAACATATATAAGATCAGCGGCAGACACAATTTTTTTTTATCATAAGGTTGAATTATTAGGAAGTTATATTAGAAATATAGGAGTAAGAAGTTACAAAATTTTAGGAGATAAGAAAGTAGATCATCAAAAAAAATACTAAAAATACTTAAACTATATATGAATTTAAAATTTTTAAGAGTGTGATCGCCTCCATCAACCCCTCAATCAATCTCTGTATAAATATATATAATAAGATTAAAAATAAAACAAAAACATGAAAAAAAAGAATACTTCTAAATAAAGAAATACAAATGAATAAGGAATTTTTTTCAAGTAGTAAATCCAAATTCAATTATTTATAATGTGTGCAACAATTATATATATATATATATCACAACACTCACAAAATGTTTAAAATCGATAAAATCACAAAAAAGAAATTGTAAAATTTCGTCACCAACACGTTTCCTAGAGGTTGAAATCAATCTTTGCCTAATTTGGAAAGGTAATACAAGATTACAAATATAAAATGCATGATTCTGTTGACTAAGCACCGAAAGGTGCATATTAAATGCACAAAAAAAAGAGTTGTTTTGTTGATTTTTTGGACAATGGCTAAATCATAATTTAGTCATTAAACTTTAGGGTATTTACAAATTAGTCCTTAGTTTTAACTATAAATACCCTAGCTCATTTAGCTTCAAAATCATCCCAAAGCATTCTAGCTTTCTTCCAATACTAGAGAGAGATTTTAGAGAGTTTCTTGAGAGTTGTTTTCTCCTTTTTATCTAGAGAGAATTATCATTGTTTTATCCTTGGTAGATCGAGAGAGGTTGTAATTCCTATTTTCTCATAGTGAAATTCTTCTACCGTTGCCCGTGGTTTTTACCCTAAATATTTTAGGGGTTTTCCACGTAAATTTTGTGTCTCTTTTATCTTCAATTTTATTTTCTCAAATTATCAGTTGCAATTTTGCTCTATCTGATAGCCGTCTTCCGCAACAATTGGTATCCGAGCTAGATTAGAGTGTGTAATATCTGCTTATTGTCTTTGTGGTTGCCACCAAAAGGTGGATCCTCCAACATAAGAAAGTAAGAAGGTATTACTCATTCTTTGAAGGTTCCAGAGAACTATTCACGATAGTGAAATAGTGGGAGCTATCCGTAATAGAAGCTATGACAACGAAATTTGATATTGAAAAATTCAATGGGAGAAATTTCTCACTGTGGAAATTGAAGATGAAGGCCATCCTGAGGAAAGACGGGTGTCTAGCGGCTATCAATGAAAGGCCGGTGGATTTCACAGATGACAACAAATGGAACGAGATGGACGGAAATGCTATGGCAAACTTTCATCTAGCATTAGCAGATGAAGTATTGTCAAGCATCGAGGAGAAGAAGACAGCTAAGGAGATATGAGATCATCTCACCAAATTGTACGAGGCCACATCGTTGCACAATAAAATTTTCCTTAAAAGAAAATTGTACACTCTCCGTATGCCAGAATCTACTTCAGTGACAGAGCACTTAAATACACTGAACACCTTATTTTCTCAGCTTACATCCTTAAGCTGTAAAATAGGAGAACAAGAACGTGCTGAACTTCTACTTCAAAGTCTACCGGATTCGTATGATCAACTCATCATCAACTTGACAAACAATAATGTCACCAGTCTAGTCTTCGATGACGTTGCAGCTGCTGTTCTACAAGAAGAAAATCGGCGCAAGAACAAGGAAGACGGACAAGTAAATCTGCAACAAGCAGAGGCATTGACAACGATGAGAGGGAGATCAACAAAACGTGGCCAAAGCAGCAGTCACAAACATGGTAGATCGAAGTCGAGAAGCAAGAAGAATTTAAAGTGCTACCACTGTGGAAAGAAGGGTCACTTGAAGAAGGATTGTTGGAGTCTCAATAAAAACTCCAATCCACAAGGCAATACCGCAAACACTTCAGATGATGAAGATGCTCTATGCTGTGAAGCGTCAACCACCGTGGAAGGAAGAAAACGATTTGCAGATATATGGCTCATTGATTCAGGAGCAACATATCACATGACCTCAAGAAGAGAATGGTTCCATCATTATGAACCTGTCTCAGGAGGATCTGTTTATAGTTGCAATGATCATGCCTTAGATATCGTTGGCGTGGGAACCATCAAATTGAAGATGTATGATGGAACAATTAAAGTTGTTCGAGATGTGCGGCACGTGAAAGGCCTGAAGAAAAATTTATTATCCTACAGATTGTTGGATAATAATGCAAGCAAGATTGAAACACAAAAATGAATCATGAAGGTGTTCCGTGGAGCGCTTGTGGTGC